TCAGTGGTGGGAAAAATGGTCATCGTGAGGGTGGGAGTCACTTGGGGTGGGGGTGGTCCATCATCATCATCAGCAGCAACAGCATGGTGGGTCCATCATGGTGGTGGGTCCATCATTATCATGATGGTTCCATCATGGTGGGTCTGTGACCATCACCATGGGTCCATCGTGGCGGTGGGTCCATCATCATCATCATCATGGTTCCATCATGGTGGATCGGTGACCATCACCATGGGTCCATCATGGTGATAGGTCCATCATCATCATCGTCATCACTGTCATGGGTCTGCTGTGGTGGTGATGGGTCCATCATGGTGGATCTGTGACCATCACCATGGGTCCATTGTGGTGGGGGATCCATCATCATCGTCATCATCATCGTCATCGTCATCATCACAGGTCCATCATGGTGGTGGGTCTGTCACCATCATCATGGGTCCATCATCATTGTCTGTGACCATCATCATCACAGTGGGGCTCCATCATCATCATCATCATCGTCATCATCATCATCATCAGTCTGTGGTGGGTCCATCATGGTGGTAGTGGGTCCATCATGGTGGGTCACTCAGGGTGGTGATAGGTCACCCATCCCATGGTGGGTGTCTCTCAGGGTGGTGAAGGGTCACTCGTGGTGGTGATGGGTCACTCAGGCCATCATGATGAGTCACTCAGAGTGGTGATGGGTCAACTATCCCATGGTGGGGGTCACTCATGGTAGTGGTGGGTCATTCATCATGGTGGCAGTGGGTCCATCATGGTGGTGATGGGTCGCTCAGGCCATCACGATGGGTCACTCAAGGTGGTGGTGGGTCACTCAGGCCATCATGATGGGTCACTCAGGGTGATGATGGGTCACTCATCATCGTTGTGGTAGGTCCATCATGATGGGTCATTTGGGGTGGTGATAGGTCACGTATCATGGTGGTAGTGGTGGGTCCATCATGGTGGTGATGGGTCACTCAGGGTGATGATGGGTCACTCATCATGGTGGTAGTGGGTTCATCATCATGGTGGTGGTGGGTCCATCATGATGGGTCACTCAGGGTGGTGATGGGTCACTCATCATGGTGGTAGTGGGTCCATCATCATGGTGGTGGTGGGTCCATCATGATGG